CCCCAAGCCTGTCCCTGGGGACAGCACACCCTTCACAGCCCCCTCTTGGCTTCACTGCAGAGCCAGGACTGGACCAAGAACGATGAGAAGCTCCTGCAAGCTGTGGACTACAACGATGCTGGGAAAGTGACATCTCTCCTCGTCCGCAAGGGCCTGGTCCCCACCAAGCTGGACTCGGAGGGCAAATCTGCGTGAGTGCTGACCCTTGTCCCTGGGACACCAGGGACACAGGGTTACATGAGTCTGACAGCCCCTGGTCTTGCTGCAGGTTCCACCTGGCCGCCATGCGAGGGAACGTGGACTGCCTCGAGGCCATGCTGGCTCACGGCGTGGATGCCATGACCAAGGATAGCTCAGGTGAGGGCATGACCACCACACGTCCCTGGTTAACACCATGGACCAGCCAGGGCCACCGGTGCTCCCTGGGTGTTCCCACCCTTCTGGGTTGAACAACTGAAGGGACAGAGGTGACAGCCACACCTGTGGGGGCTGTAAATTGTCCCTGCTTCCTACGGGGACTCAAGCACTGACTGCTGGTGCTCCTGGGGATGTCCCATTCCCATTCAGCCCCAGTTTAGCAGATCCTCCTGTGTGCCCATCCATCTGTCTGTCACCCAACTGGTCCCCTCTGCCACAGACCCATTGTCTGTTCTCTCACCCGTCCGTCTGTCCCTCTCCCCAGGTTACACTGCCCTGCACCTGGCGTCCAAGCACGGCCACCCACAGTGTGTCAGCAAACTGCTGCAGGTACCGGGAGCACGGTGCTGCGAGGGGGGGCGGGCGCTGTGCCATCGAGGTGTCCTCTCTGTCCTTGAGCTCCCTTCCCTCACCAGTGGTGTTGGTTTGCGTGGCAGTTCCCAGCTCTGCCCAGTGCTCTGTGCTGCTGCCCGGCACCCGCTCAGCCCTCCACCATGCCAAGGAGCCACTAGAGCAGTTTGTCTGTCTGTCTGTCTGTCCCCTGCGCTCCCATAACCCAGGCTCCTCTCCCTCAGGCCTCCTGCCCTGTGGATGTGGCTGATGGCAGCGGGCGAACAGCGCTGCACCACGCAGGTGAGTGGGGACAGTGCCAGTCCTGTGTCCTGCTGGTGTCCCCGTGGGAGGCAAAGTGCTCAGCTTCTGTCCTTCTCCCCAGCGGTCAGCGGCTGCATCTCGTGCTCGGAGATCCTTTGTGATTTCAAGGCTCCCTTGAACATCAAGGACAAGGTGAGATCCCTCTGCTGCTCCTCACCCTGCAATGCTGTGCAGAGCAGCAAGGAGCCAGGCTGGGGCTGCTTCTGAAATGCAGCAGCTTCTGGGGTGGAACACAGCAGCTGCCAGTACTTGGGGTTCCCACACAATGACGTGGGA